CACACACACGCACACACACACACACACACACACACATACACATATGCTATGAACATGACTGTCTGTTGAACTTTGGCCAACACTCACTCACCGGAATTCCCGTGCACGCCCAAACAAGCACAGAAAAAGGGGGAGAGGTACTGGAGTCTGGAGTGTCCCGCCGCCCAGAAGAAGAAACTGAACGGAAGATTCAGAGAAGTGAAGTGACAGAATACGTAATTTAGTGAATTCTCTCCAGAGCAATCATTCATAGATAACAACCGAGTGATCGCAAGATTCACAACCAGAAAGCAATGGAGAGATGACAACTCAAACACAGTATTAACACTGTTTATTGAACTCAGAGCATCGTTCAACTAAAATAACCTCAGAAGTTCAGAACCCTGTTGCGCTAGCGCCTCAACCCCAACACCCTGAACAGCTAAAAACGGCAATGAAAGTTACGAAACCCTCCCCAACACCCCAGGTAACACGCAACGGGCCAGCGGCCCAGCGCGACCCTGACATCCAACTCAGTGGCCTGCGCGAAAGTGAAATGGGCTCCCAGAGCCAATCGACGATCGCCACTCAGATGATGAAGTAGAAGCTCACCGCCAACAGTACCCGATGAAGATGAAGTCCAGACGATGATAATCTCTGAGAAGATGCTGTTATGGCTGGATCGCCACACGGAGTCCGGGAGCCCGGGACCCTACTTCTGAGGAGGGTCAACACTGACTCAGCAGTGCAGCACGTACTCCAACGCATCAGACCTCTGGTGTCCACATCCTATCTATAATCTACACATAGCCTAGACCGACCTAGACCACATTGACTGACCACTTTTGGCCTCTAGGGCCTAACCCTACCCGACTATAGGCTATAGGACCGTCTATCAGCATAGGCCCATAGGGCCTGTCTGTCCAAGGGTAGCCCGGGTCTGCTATTCGCAGTTTGGGTATCAGTAGCCTGTAGCCTGTAGGGAAAATGAAGTTGGTATTGGGCCCATATATCTATATTTACATATATGATATATGTACCTCGCGAATTTTCCATACAGGCAGGTAGAGACTCTAGGGCCTCTATTGGCCCTCTAGGGCCTAACCCTACCCGGCTATAGGCTATAGGACCGTCTATCAGCATAGGCCTGTAGGGCCTGTCTGTCCTAGGGGTAGCCCAGGTCTGCTATTCGCAGTTTGGGTAGCAATATCTTGTAGTCTGTAGGGAAAATGAAGTTGGTACTGAGCCCTAATATCTATATTTACATATATGATATATGTACCTCGCGAATTTTCCATACAGGCAGGTATCTCAGTCAGTCCTTTGCCAAACAAAAAATGATAGAGAGCAGTGAACACTGAACACACAGACTCTCTCTCTCTCTCTCTCTCTCTCTCTCTCTCTCTCTCTCTCTCTCTCTCTCTCTCTCTCTCT